CCCCCCCCGGTAGACCTGCTGCTCGATCACGTCTTTTTTTTTTTTCTTCATCCTGAACCGTTTTGCTTCTCAACAAATAACTTTGGGCCTCAGTCAGAAACAACTGGAGAGTTTTTATACTTTTGTCCCCAGAGGAGGACGAAACGGTGGATTTAAGGTGTCCCTCCTCCCCCGCATGCGCTTCCTCCTCGTGACGCAGCGCGCATCAAATCAGACGTTTTTTTAAAAAATAATAAATTTAGCATATACTTTTTATCATATCTTAAGATCTACTTGGCCTAACAACACGATTTAAAAACTGGTTTAAAGTTCGTAGTCTCTGCTTTTCACTCGAGAGTCAGAGAGGGCGGCTCTTTACAGGTAGAGTTTTTTCTTTCTTGTAACTAACTGCGGTCATTGACAAACGCTGTGCGGGTGACGTAATCGGCTCTGCGACACAGCGAGGGAYGCATAAATCCCGTGACACAACAAATCGATAATGAAATTCTTTGCCAACGCTTTTAATAATCGATTTTTATCGATTTTATCGATTCATTGTTGCAGCCCTAAAACACGTTTGCCAAATAAGTTCTGAAATTTTAAAAATTCACTAAAAATTCGAATTAAGTTGGATGGAAACACAGCTAATGTCGTTGCTACAATTGAAAAATTGGCACCTCGAGTTGTAAGGCAGCTCAGACGCAACCAGTGACTCCACCCCTTAGCCAATCAGTGACGAACAGTGATCTGATATCCCATTTTGGTGTTGACTGGGACCACTTGGAACCACAATTAAGTAGGTACAAAAAAAGGGCTGGTTCCATGAATCTGGCCTAATGGAAATGGCTTGGAACTGTACCGACACTACAGTAAGTGGCRCTAGTGGAAAAGGGGCAAACTTAGACATTTCAGAGTCAAAAAACTGATTTAAAAAAAAAATCCTAATTCTAGATCATGTCGTATTTGTTCCAGATGTTTCTGTCTGGGACATGAAGTTCTGATATACATTTTAACATTGTTCTGCTGACGCAAACCTGCCTTTACCTCTATTTTCTTTTCCCTTGGCTTCAACAACAGCTGGAGAGTCTGGAGGAGGAGAAGTCCAACTTGGCAGCTCAGTGTGAGGAGCTCAGGCTGAGTTTACAGCAGCAAAGAGAAAACACACAGGCTTCAAAAAGAGACGGTGAACTGGTAGAGTTTGAAATTCTTTTAAAGATAATGTTTTTAATGTTTTTCTGTATTTTAAATTGATTTTATTGTCTACATTTATGTGTTGCTCTGTTTTATTCATTTGGCTGAATTTTGAAGCATTTTGGTCAACTTTAGTTGTTTTTATGTGCTGTATAAATAAGTTGACATTGAACTTTCTGTGCAGCCACACTCAGAAGAGGCAGGAGGACCGTCAAAATCTAACACAGACTCTGACTCATTTAAAAGGTGAGAACAACTGAGAAATCTAYGTGTTTTTATAAAAAGTCAGAACAGGGTTTTGAATGTGTCTTTATTTCCTTCCTCTTGTAGTTTGATGGAGCTTCGGCAGAATGTGGGGCGCCTTCTGATCTCCTACGTYCCAGCGCTGGACTTGGACCAAGTGAACTATGAGTGTAACGTCATTGATGAGATCCTGGAGCAGTTTCTTGATGAATCAGAATCAAGATGAATTTAAACAACATTGCGTTGCAAGAACTGCTTTTGCCCCATGAACTCTAGTGCTTGGAATGCRTACATGTTTTTTTTCAAAGTCAAGATTTACATGTCTCCACAGTCCAAAAGAAATCCGGTTTGCTGTGTCTTTAAAAAACAATTCACCCCCTTGAAGGTTTTCTGCTTTTATCACTCATAAATGACTCATGGTCAATATAGATTAGCTTTCTTAACAAATACAATAAAATGCAAAAATCAAATACATATCAGGAGATGGGTACATTAGGATTTCCAAGAACCTAAACAATGTATTTTCACCATGATTGATTTATGGCAGCAATAAAAGCAGAAAACATCTTAGAGGGTGAATTATTTTTATAGGCACTCAATGTTTTTTGTATTGATGTTCATTTCAGCTCCAACACTTATGGAAGTGAAGACCGTCTTGTAGAAAGTCTTGAAAATGACGTAAATTGTATTTATTTGAAGATGCAGACATTTAGTAATAGCGTATGGACATGAATGTCAACTCCTTCAGTTTCTATAAATTGAAAAATGGGAGTTTCCTTATTGACCCTCAGTAGATTAACTTTAACATCAAGTTCGTGATTAACAACTTTTGAAAGAGTTCTACTCAGTGCAGTGCTTAGAATATAATTCACCTTTCTAAATAATATAGTCTTAAATCCCTCATTGCCTTTGTTCTTTTGCTGATAGAAACAATAATAGTTGGAATTTCTACATAAAAGTTTGACTCGTTTCACTTTTATTGTCGTCTTAAACATCTTGGGAAATCCTATCTGTAAGGCTCAGGGGAGTTGCCTTTACATTTGTGAAGTCTTTTAATTATAAACAGATTTGTTTTTTTTTTTTTTAATCTTTTTTATTTTCATTTGTCCTGTAAGGACACACTTCCTTACTGCAATAAATAAGGATGACAGGTGTTTTGAGGTACGAACAGAACTCAAGTTTCCAGTAGTAAATGCTCAGTTTTGTTTAGTTTTCTCATCTTAATAAATATTTTTTATTGCAGTATTCATTATTAATCCATGTTAGTCAATATGTATATATAGAATTAAACCAAATAAGGCCTCTGAAAACAGATTAAGATTTATCCAGGGTTTTACTCTACTGGAGAGTGAGAATAAGATGGCAGCTGTGTGTGTCAACTATTAATGAGACATTTCTGTTTCTTTAACATTTCAAATGCAACAGACTTGTCAAAACATTATGGAGCCGTGTGTTTCTGCATTATGTAATTTAAGTGCTATGTTTAACCCACAGGCATAGTTAGTGGAAAAAAGCATTTTAGTTTTATGAATAGAGTAGCCTATAGAGGGAAAAAAGCAACTTGAGGTTTTCTTTTTCTTATGTACCTAGTTTCTAAAAGGCAACAAAAAAAGTGAAGATCCATGAGGTTTGTACTTGTTCTTGGTTTTGAAGAGCTTGAATGAGCTTCTTGTCTGACTAAGCAGATATTGAATGTAGATATTGTATGTAACAAACTTTTCAGACTAAAGAACCCTTTTATACGAATAAACATCTGAATTTGCATTATTTAAAAAAACAAAGCTGGAAAAACGTCATTTATTTGGGGGCTTCAAATAATGAAAAAATCTGAAACAAAATTTGATYGTTTTGGCAATAAATAATCTGTTCACGTCTCACTTTAATTAATCTTTTTCCACCTACTCATGTATTTTAAAACCACATAATGAGTTACTAAGCTTCAAATGTCAAAGACTACTTTGCATTTCACCAAATATTTTGGTTTACAAAGATGTTYGTGGTTGACTAAAATCCAAATCATCACCCTGCCACCACCGTGTTTAACAGTTTGCATGAGTTGTGTGTTCATTTGCTGTGTAGCTTGTCAGTATGTGAATGTGTAAATAATGAATAATGGAAAGCTCTGAGTGTCTAGAAAAGTGTTATATAAGACTAATTTATTATTATTATTATTATTATTATTATTATTATTATTGGATGAGAATAAAGTAGAGATGTTTACCCATAATGCCAAAGCCAACGCTGCCCTGGGGCAGACTAACATCTAAAGCAGTGGTTCCAAAAGATGGGACCCACAGTGGGGTCCTAAAACAGTAAGATCTTGGAAATTGTTTTTAAAATATATTACATTTAAGGATGACAATTATTTACTTATTTATGTTTGCTCTAGTTGATACAAAAGAGTGAGGTTGATGTACGTAAAATAGATAAAAGTAACATTTTTACTATGCCCCTGTTTACTTGACCTGATGCCAGTGTTTATCAACCAAAAATAGTCAGAGGCTCAAGTCTCTGCTACTGAATAAAAAGATGAAAAGTTCATGCATCCCTGGTCTAAAGGATGTTTTTTTTTTATTGTTGGTTCATTCTGCTCCAACTTTACTAAATAAAAGTCCTGCTACCATCTTTTTATTTTTGTTTTCAGTGCTCACTGGAAATATATTTTTATTATTGTCAGTGCTGTAAATACGGAAAGGGAAAATAAAAAATTGTCCCCGCCTTTTCCGCTATTTCGTCCAATCACAGCAGCCACAGCGACCGGAAGTTATGAACGAAAAGTACCCGCGAATTTATTATTCCTGATTCRGTTTAGCGGCAGTCAGAAGAGGTAACGTGTCTTAAACTCTGTTTCACGAACACCTAATTTAAGATAAACGTTGCTCGCTAGCWTTCAGTAACTGTTCCATGCTGTGTTGTCGTTTTGGCGCTACGAATTAAACCTGCTGTTGTTGGTTGCTAACTATGCTAACTAGCTTAACATTTTGTTAAATACTTTCTGCTGTTTCCTAATGTAATGCAGAACACTGTTCGCACTTTGTTAAAGACACTTTGACGTATACTATAAGCTTTTTTGCATGTTATAGTGTCTCATTAGTCCGTTTATTTATTTATTTAGGCATTTGTCTGTAACTTATAGGAAAATGAAGGTGGTGACATGTGAGATAGCTTGGCACAACAAGGAGCCGATCTACAGTCTGGACTTTCAGCACARCTCAGATGGACGCTTTCACAGACTGGCCACAGCTGGAGTGGACACCACTGTCAGAGTGAGTGGACAGGGACCAACATCTGCCTCATTATATCTTCTTATAGAAACAATATACATTACCTATTTGTAAAACTCCTGAGCCAACTCCTTTTTCTTTATTTGCTATTTTTGCACAAGTAAAAAAACGTGAATTTCTAACAACTTAATGTCCAGATACAATTAGGAAGACCTCAATGGAGTATTTAGCCTGGAAATTTTCTCTAAATCGTTTACATATAGTGTATTAAAATTTTATGTCACGATGCAAGTCAACATTTATACAAACACTGAGTAAAGTTAAAACATATAGTGCATCAAACAAATAAGAAACACAAGGTAGTTCTTAGGTTTTTGCACAAATAGTTATAATTACAGGAAGAATTGCATGTTTAGGATTATTGAAGATCAGTATTATTAATAGCAACTAAGTTTGGCTTGTGTCCAAAGCTTAAATCTCAAAGAATGGCACATTTTTAAAAAAATGTTTTTAACATGAGCTAACGTTCTCAAGACTATTTAAAATGTTCAGATGATTTGTTTGGACACTGATTATTTCCTCCTCTTCCATCCTGTTTGTGAACCTGACCATTTTTAGAAAATACTTTTTGGTTAGTTTAGCCATTTAAAGCTGATCCATACTTATTTCTAGATGAAAAGGGCACCTTATTTTAACTGAGTTGTGTCATTTTGTTCCAGGAAACTACAAAAACTGTCAGACATCACTTTTTACAAAAATATTTACATATCTGTATTACTGTTTGTCATTAAACTATATAAAGTATTGGAAAAAGTGATCTAATCTAATCACTTGTGCTCAGTTAGCAGCAGCCTATTTAATCTGTAAACTAACCTAACTAAAATCTAAACCTATTCTGAAGAATGTGTTAAGTCTATGCTTCTTTCCCTCTGTTGCTGTTCCAGATGTGGCGAGTAGATACTGGTCCAGATGGGAAGGCAGAGGTGGACTTTCTGTCTAACTTGACCAGACATACGAAGGCCGTCAATGTGGTCCGGTTTAGCCCTGTTGGAGATTTCCTTGCTTCAGGGGGAGATGGTGTGTCACCTGGAATTATTACGTCTAATGCAGAGCAGAAATGTTAAAACAGTAATAATAAGTTGTTGGGTTTTTTTTATATACAGATTCTGCAATTTTTTTGTGGAGGCTCAATGACAATAAGGAGCCTGAGCAGGCTTCTGTCTTCCTGGAGGATGAAGAGTCTCAGCTCAACAAAGAGAGCTGGTCTGTAGTGAAAACACTGAGGTACGCAGGAGCAGGAAGTTTTTGTTTGTTTAAGAAATCTATAGGAATCTACTTTTGCAGTTTCTGCATTATTCTCTGTGTTTTATGGCTTAAAAAATCATTTATTTTCAGGTGTTACAAAAGTACTSAACCATGTGGTACATCTGTATTTTTTGCTTTGTTTTCAGAGGGCACWTAGAGGACGTGTATGACATCTGCTGGACACGAGACGGTAACTGCATGATTTCAGGATCTGTTGACAACACTGCGATTATGTGGGACATCAACAAAGGTTTGTGCTCGTGTGTGTTGGATACAGTTGTTATTTAACAGCTTAGCAGGTGTGAAACCTTTGCACATGCTTGTCTTCAGGACAGAAGTGTATCGTGATTGACCACAAAAGCTACGTTCAGGGGGTGGCTTGGGATCCTCTGGGCCAATATGTGGCCACTCTCAGCTGTGACAGGTAGAAAACAATAACTGGATGCACTGTTTGAAGATTGGCCTCATCAGTGTAAGTCTGATGGTGTTAGTTTATTTYTCTCTCCCAGGATGATGCGTGTGTACAACACTCACACAAAGAAGAAGGCATTTTGTGTCAGTAAAATGAGCTCCACTTCACTTACAGAAGGAGAGGTCAGTAGAAACTTGGATTCTTGTTTTACATTTTCCTTGTTTTTCCCCACAAATTAAAGGTTTTATATTTTAACCTTTTTTCAGTTCCACAGTATGTTTTGTAACCAGACATTCTGAGGTTGTATATCACATCTCATAACCACTTTAACATAATATACACTGAACACTTAAGTTTTTTTTCTGATTTTCTCAGACTTTTTTTGCTTTTCATTCAACTTTGCTGCCTTTCTCAATCTTTTTTGTCTTTAATTGTATGAATTTATTCCTACTCTTAACACTAATAAAGACCAAGTTTGATTTGTATTTATCTGGTATTTCCCCATATGAAAATTACTTTAATTTTTAATAAAGTTGCTAAAAAAGATTGAAACTGTTAGATTTTTATAATTTAATAAATATGTT